AAATCTAAAACATTACTCTTCACATGTAAAGATACAGATCTCAAACATAGTGAAACACTTTCATCATATGTTTGCAACAATGGACTCAAACGTGTCCTTTTCTTCATTTAAAAGAAAAAATTAAAACGTAAAAGAACTTCTAGGTACACCTATGGCAGACGTTTAGCTGACACAATCATATCTAACCTGTAACAATACAATTTCCGCACCATTTCCTCTCTTCAACTGCAACCTGAAAGTCGATGAGGGCAAGCCCCTAACCTCTTTCTACAGTAAACAGCAGCAACATGCAGTAAGTAGAGCAGCAGTGGAGATGTTTGACCACAGAGCCCCACTTTGTGCTTCTGTGGAAGCTTTCAACCGGTTACATTTTGGTCTAGCCAGACAGGCTTAAAAAACACTGTCACTATTGTTTTATTTGTAAAGGTGTGATCATTTTAGTGTATGAGAGCTGACAGCTGTCTCATCACCTGACACAAAATAAGAAGCTGTCTTTTTAATTATGCTGCTACTCAATGGTACCAAACCACATTTTGAAGAATGATAATCACACATAAGCTTTTTTCTCTTTATTATTTTCAAATGTATTTACTGTCTTGAATGTTTCAGGAGTGGGAAACTTGAGTTTACTGAGGATGGAAGTCCAAAACAGAGAGAGAAAGATTCATTTTCAGATTGACCCGCATCAGTGTGGACATGGCCTTAGTCTGGTTGTGCTCATTTCAAAACTGAATCTTGCATGTTCTTGAACTTCTATTAATTTCAAGTAAATCTAAACAACTGTTAACAGGAACTCGAATTACAGGAAGTAAAAATAGGAAGTGCTGCGGTTAAGTCTTTGAAAAATAAAAGATTTTTTTGGTTAAGTCATTGCCTCAAAGAAGAAAGAACTTTCTTTCGACTACAACAGCCGACTGTGCAGGCCTCTCACTACCTGCTGAGTCATTATAAATCCCACAGAAACGGGACAGAAAATAGATAACAGCAGACTCTTCACTGAAGTCCACCACTATTAATCACTAAAAAACTTTTTTTTTTAACTAGGTTAATCACTAAAAAACTTTTTTTTTAACTATTAATCAGTAAAAAACTTTTTTTTTTAACTATTAATCACTAAAAAAAAGTGATCTCCCTGTAATTGGATTGTCGTCTGAAGCGAGAGGAGTACAGGAGCAGTGACCCGGTCAACACAAGCTTATGGACCATAAGACATTTACTCACAACAGGCTTATGGCTAGTTCATGTTAGCAGATTTGTTACACTGACTGACGCACATCAGTGAAAGTTCATATATATATATTTGAATGTGAATGTACTACAAAAGTAAATGTAGTGGTGGTGAGTACGCCATTTAAGTTGAAACTACATTATGTATTTGTAGACTTGTTCGTTTGCTGCCACATTCAGGGTTTCCCCGTGAATATTAGTCAGCAGGTGTGCTACTGCGGGAAACCCTGACGGAAATGTTGGAGCTGCCAGATATTTACATACACATCGAATGACACAAACACCCCTTTTACAAAAGTCTGAACACTCTCATTTAGCATACACAACTCCCACCGTGGGTCTGTCAGGACTCCCAGAGGAAGAAAACACTCAGGAGTATTAATTATTGCGTCGTTCTTTTCCTATATTGGCCACACAGCTCCAGAAATTCACCCATTTATAATAGAAATCGTATGCATTTCATCAACAGAAGTCTTCAATAACACTGGTAAAATGCATGAATGTTTAAGACTTGTTCAACTCTCAGCATCATCCAGCGTTTACACAGTATCTAATCAGATGCATTACAGTTTGAAGCAGAACTTCTGAGGGGAAATCCAGTATTTGTGCAGATTGGGGGGGAAAGCAACATTGCTACAGTGAACGTGAACAATAACAGACTTTCATTGATCTAACAATTAGGTTTTTGTAGAAACTGAAATTTCCCGTGGCCAAAACTGGCTCGTGTGGACTCAAAACATAAATCCTCTCTCTTTAAATACAATTAGTTTACAATCTTTGGAGCAAGACAAAATGTACGTCTTTGTTAGGACATCTTTCTTTTGATAAGAAAAGTGCAGTTATGGCAACATGCCCTGTCACGTGCCCAATGTCAGTTGTCATAGCTACCCAGCCAGTTTCACAGAGCGACCGCTTCACCTCAATTTCAAACGTCTTTGTACACGTTTGGAGTTTGCTTGTCACGTAACAACTGCAGCTCGGTAGGCTGCGTCTTGGACTCAGTGTCTTTATCGTTTCTCAGAATAAACAAGATGGTAATGTGTCTCCCAACAATATTGTCACACTGTTTCTCCTATTAACTGAGGCCATAATGTACCATCGGGACCGGAAGAGACAGAACAACACTGTGGCCATGCTGAAATTTCACACAGATCATGCACAAGGCCCAAACAAACCAAGACCCCTCAGGCAGCAATCCCATGCAAATCCTCTCTCTTTCAATCCAAACGCATGCAGGCGAAATGAGAAGAGAAAAGGTCAGGTGTGTCAAAACCTATTGTGCTCTTAGGAGATGTTTAAGCTATTTATATAATTGCTTGTGAAGGGGAAGGGTGTGCCCTCTAAGGAGGTTACATGAAGAGGATGGTTGCATGCACAATGTGGGTCTCTGCTGGATGCTGAGGATGTCAGGGGGGTCGATGAAGGGGCATCCAGGGGGATACATCTTTTGCCCTGGGGCATCTGACAGGTTAATCCGCCCATGTGTGTACCTGATCTCCTCTTTAATGACAGCTAGGAGCCACTGTGACAACACCATACAGTGCAATCAACCAATGCCTAAAATGAACTGGATGAGAAGTGTTGCTCGCATTAAATATGAATTACTGCGCTCTACCAGCATCTTTTTAAAACATAAAGAGTGTCAAAAAAATAACTCAGGAGACAATGTATCGACGAGCTTTGAATTAAAATGCATGTCAGTGCGTTAAAGAGACATAACAAGTCAGTAATCCTCCCGCTTCTCTCCGAGCGGTACCGACACAACAGGCGGAGAGAAGATGAGCTAGGCCTGACGTTATGTTCGCTGTGTTTCATTTTATAAAATATTACAGTAAATAAACGACAGACGCGTTAAGATAACAGTAAATAATGTATAATAACAATAATGTTATAACACCCCCCCCCCTCCCTTTACCCCCGTCCTGCCCTTATTTGCTACAGCATCTGCCCCGACGTTTACCCCGATGGCTAATATGCTTACCGGACAGTTCGTCGGGTTCCAGCCCGCTTTCGGTGTCGAGTCCGCAGATCACAAAATAATCTGCGAACCGGCAGGAACCGGAGCTGAAGCCGGTGGTCATTTTGAGACTGGTCCGGTGGTACCCTTGTTCCCTCAACAGGGAGCATATTAAAGGACCTCGGAGAAGTGATTTCGCTCTGCCATCACGGATGCTACGTTACTGCGAAGCTCGAAGATCAGCACCGATACTAAGACGAGCTGTTGTGCTGACTGCAACGGGCCGTGGTGCTACATCCGGCCGGGATCCTTCACAATAAGACGCCGTGTCCGCACACTGCAGCGGGGAAAAACGTTCAGCTTTCTAAAACTCATCAACAAAAACAACAAAAACAACAATATATATACAAGTGAATACGTAAAACAAGTACAAATTAATAAACTTGAATTAATGATTTAGTATGATTTGAATAGAAAATACGTAATAAAGGCTGTACAAGTAGGAATACATAGAAAAAACTTTTAAAATCATAAAATTGTATAAGGTAAAATCTGTTACTCTAGTAGTAAGAAAAATATATTTGAAACACTGTACACATTCTGTAGGCCAAATAATGTCCAAATAATCCTCTTGGCTTTTAGTTAATACACACACTATATTAAATTCTGCAGTGGTTTAAGAAAACAACTAAAGGCCATATTTGTATAATATGGCTTAATTATGACATTTTGAGTGTGACTTGTGTTTCTTTTTCCTCTTTCAATAATGCACACGATGTGTCAACTCAAAACTGTCCTAGTCAGTTCACTCTACTGAGTACTGCACGCAGTTTCTGTTAAGACAATTTGTCTTATTTTTAAGAAAATTGTTACTTACTTCCTGGTATATTCTGACTTTACACAGCCAGTCGAAATGCATTGTGGTCCATCAACAGCACCACAGCTGTAATCATCTGCTTTAAACACAAACAGTATCACCAGGCTGATTCAACCAACTACAACTGTAGTGCAACTACAGCTCACTGGAACCACAGTATTACCTATCTCTATATTCTGATACTATATTTAGCACTTTGCTTTTTGAGAAATACATTGTTATTGCAGTTATTTATTTCTAGAGAAGCATCTAAATTTGACCCTGTTCTTTATGTGATGTAAAGGTCTTTCATACATCATAGAGTAGAACAGAAATGTGGATTAGAAGATATTTATAAAGTGTACACAGAGATTGGTGCTTCTACAGTTATACAGATTTCTTTACTCTTTGATAATTTGCTTTTGTTGTGTTTGTACATCCACACTGGATTCTACTGTTATGAAATGCTTGCTCTACATTTCCTAACCAGATTTTGTAACATTTAACAGATCAACAAACAAGCTGATGATGATGTTTCATCAATTATGTGAATGTCCAATAAAAAAAACAATTACAAAGTGAGGTTTATATTCCTGGAAAGGTAAGAAGTTTATATTTAAATCACTGATCCTGACACATCATAGTGTGGTCATTTCTTTCAATGTCTACATTATTTTGTTTTATGTTTATTTTTACTATAGAATTAAATATTAAGTTCCCCTGATCGACACATTTTGTAAGCATTCACACTGCAGCACACACTACAGTACAGTATGTTAGTGTAAATGGATGAATGTCACATCTGAACAAACCACTGCTTAGCAGGTATATTACAATATCACCACCTGGTGGCACTAAACCCTCACTGTTGTTTTGCCTCCACAAAACACTGTGGATGGCAGCGTGAGTGAACATGTGTTCTTTAAACTCTTTAAAGATAATTCTCAAAACTCAGTCATATTCTGTAAAGATCATTTTAATGATTTAATAAATATTAAAAAAAAACATTAATTTGATTAGATAGGACAGGAAATTGAAAACTGTAAACACTTCATACTGCAATACATCACTGCTCAGTACAAAATAATACTGCTTTTTGAAATGTTAACAGAGGGTTACACAAGATTGATCTCACTATATCGCTGATAGGGCAATAGGACAAAAAAAATGCAGTAATATATCCAATTTGAGTATATGTTCAGCATGAAGTATAGGATAGGTTTGTGTTTAAATATTGTAACAAATAGAGGGATAATTAAAATCTATGATGTTGACAGATTTAGCATTACGGAGGACTTCCAAACAGTGAATCTAGATGATATTTGAATATTGAGACCAAAAAATTAATTTTCAGGACCAGTTTATAGCATTTAGTATTTGACTTTAACACCTTAATGAAAACAACAATCTGGTGTACCAATATAGCTCTCATAAACCAGTAAGAACCATAAAACCAACCCAACAGTATTTGACTGAAACAGCATTAATTCCTGCTACAAACAGTATTAGAGCAACCACTCAAACTTCACATGAACTGATTCTTGTGTTGCCATTTCAAATCCGGGTTTGAGAGGTTAATAAACGTACAGTAGTACACAGTAAATCTGTTGAATAATAAGACAATAATGTTAAAACAGGAACTCTCAAAACACATAAAACCACCTGCCTCTGTAAATGTGCATTTTTAAGAGATTAAAGAAAAGTCTGTTGAATAAATTACCTGAATGTACAGTCACTGCATCAACGTCTCTGGAAACCTTCCAGAAAGTTTTTCAGCAGCAGCAATAAGTTACCTTGGTACACAGGCTAAACACAAAACAAACATCTAAATAAAATAAAATGAATGAAATCAGTAAGCTTTTATAGCACAGGACAAAATTAGCCACTCAAAACTATTTAAACAACATAAATCAGACATCATAATACATTTCTCCTGGTGAAGAAAGAAAGCAGTAAATAGCAAGGTAAGGCTTGGATACCTCAGTACATTGACAGTCTTTTTGAGGGCACTGGTGTAGCTAAATGGAGATGGATGCACATTGTCAGCGTTGTGTTGACATAATCTAAGATCACCTCTTAATTAAGAATACCAATTTGAATTGGCTGATGCTTGGAGTTCAGTATCATACAGTTTAGTCCACTGAGGAAATATTACATCAGCTTGGTCTTTACAAGTTACAAAGCAAAGAACTGCTTTAGGCTATCAATGAACAGAAATTTTAATGCTAAAATAAAAAGTGTGGCAGTGGATCCAGGCACCTTTTGAGGAAGAACATGGGAACCCATGTCGACAAAAGTAGCTCTTACTGAGACCAGTCATTACATTTTCCTTCTCTAGTTTAATTTTCCCCCCCTCACACTGCTGTATGTCTCTCAAGGCAAGAACCAGGTATCAAATTTTATTTTATGAAAACTAAAATCCACTTTCAACAGTAGTGGTACAGTTATTGCTGTTCATCAGGGTTACAATTAGACACAAGCAAAGTTAAAATAAATATTAAAAAGGGAGTGGAACTTAAAGGTGCTACAAACAGGATGTAGTAATTGATATGCTAATGCCAAAGAAAATGTGATAGTAAAAGTTGCTGTAATAAAAAATAGATGTTTGCAATACAGTTTCATACAGAAAACAGAGAAGAAACACATTTTCCCCATGACAAGTAGGCCACATGAAACAACTGGTACGTGCATTCAAAGAAATTCCATGTATCAGATTGTTTTAGTTCAACATCCTACAAGTAGCACCTTTAATTGCCTGGCAAGAATCATACAATAATGAACAGTGCCTTCAATAATAAACAAAAAAAAAAAAACAATTTCTCTTATTTACAAGATGTGCCACAATCAACAACATAATTCACAGAAACCAAAAACCTTGTGCAGGCAGCGGCCAGTTTACACTTTTACTTAACATCAGGAACAGCCCAACACTGCATGCGTTTTGTGGTCAGTGAGTTGCTGGTTGCGCCAGTGATCAGAGATTCTCCCACCGGAAGCAAACCCAGCAGCTGTGTATGAGACTGAGGCGGAGCAACTTGAGCGAGAGCTGCGCGTTCCTGAGCCGGGGGAAGGGGACGTTGGGATCGGCCAGCAGATGAGGTGCTGAGGTGTTTAGCGTTCTACTCTAGTTTCTTCTGCAGCTTTTTCTGGAAGCAGACGGGCAAGATCGAGAGCACAGCGAGTACACCGAGGACAGCCAGAGAGTTCCAGGACACGGCCTCACCAGCTGTGGTCAGTTTGTACAGTGTTGTACCTGCGTTGATCGCTACAAAGGATGGTGGTGCCACTCCTGTGAAGCAGCCGGGTTGAATACAGGTGAGTAAGTGAGCAAGACATGATACCAAAATAAAAATACAACAGAAGGGATAGACGGTCTTACCGAGAAAGGTACCGATGAAGAAAACCCCCAAAGGCACATTGATGACAGGCGAGGTGATGTTGATGAACCAGTTGGGAAGGAAGGGGGTTATCCTCAGGAAGATGATGTAATTGATCAAGTGATCTCTGTGTTTTTCAATCTGCCAGGAAAAAAGTCACAAGCAGAATGTTTCTTAAGTCATACGCCCTGAATAACCACAATATTGTAATCCAATACAACAGCTCTGCAATAAATCCTGTCTGTGAAGTTTATAATAACTGCAATGTCAGAGAAGTGAGTCAACACTATGGATATTTTTGGAAAAATAGATATAGGACTTAGGCTTTTACCTGCTGGGACCATTTCTGTGCTCTCTCTGAAAGATACTTGTAGACCACGGGTCTGCCCACCAGATATGACAGCATATAGCAAAAGGAAGCCCCAAGGCCAGAACACTGCCAACAGACAAAACACATGATAACTGACTGCATATGATAAGGAGGAAGAGACAACCACAGTGTCACAGCTGGAGAAAGAAAACATTGGTTTCTCTCACACAAACACAAATCAGTGTCCTTGTCCTAAAAAATATGTTTGTATTCTGGAAAAACAACTTAAAAGAAAGCCCACTAAGCCTGTCCCTCTACAAATACAGCAAAAGAATGCATCCAACCATTATCTCCTTCTACATGACAGGTCTATTTTAACTTTTAGCAGCAGTGGTGTAGTGTTATGTTGAATACACGGTAAGTAGTTTCCCAGAAGAGGCTGAGGGCCTTGGTGCCCTTCCTGGATAAACATCACGTTTCAGTGTCTGCCCTCAGAAGCAAAGAGAAAGAACTTCTGCACTGACCGTGTTATTTTACCAACAATAAATCAGGAACAAAGTCATTGCAGAAGAAAGGAGGAGGGGAGGGGGAGCCCACAACTGACTATGATGCAATGCAACCTTATGACATGTTTGTACACACAACTTCTATTTGTTGCCTGTCCATCTGTCGTAAGAGAGGGATCCCTGTTCTGGTGCTCTTCTTGAAGTTTCTTCTATTTTTTCACTTATCAGCATCAAGGGTCTAAGTAGGGTACAGCTTGTTGTAAAGCCCCTTGAAGTGACATTGTGTTATACAAATGAAACTGACTGGACGTGATCAGTGAAAAGCAGACTGCACACTGTTCTCTACTCCAATGCCTTCCATATTAAAATGTTCAACTATGGCTTTAATTAAATATTCATGTGTAAGAATCATGATCCATTCTTGCAAAAGAGAGGATGTGCATCTAAATTCTCAGACTTTTTCCGTGGGCAGTTGTTCATTATACAATACAACATTTGTTTTCAATCACACATTTCATACCGTCCTTGCTTACTCACCAAACAGACTAAGAAAAGAGCCAAGGGGAAAGGGTAAAGATATCCAGACAGGATGCTGAGGAAGATTGATCCAGGAATCGCAAATGTTTGGAGGCTGACAAATGTGTTAAGGTAAATGACTAAAACATTTTCAAATAAGGTAACAATAATAATAATAATAATAAAAAATAACATCACAAGCAAATTCCTCAAAGCACTCACGACTGCTAATCTTTCTATAGAATCTTTGATTTGATACTGTCCATGTTATGGGAGACATAAATACACAGAAGGCACGAGAAGAGTATTTCTTAGAAAAGACTTCATACTGTCGAATAGTCAACTAAACCGATATTTGGTCATCTTTTTATCTTAAAGAAAATTTGAGCAGCTTAAGATGTGACTGTCTCCACATCCCAGTCAATGCTCACTTCACACTTCACGTGAGATAAGACACGACTCGGAGACAAACCTTCGTTTACTGTGAGTCATTTCAGCAAATACAGTTCCTACACTCATAACACTCGTGACTGAGAATATTTCTATTTGACGGTGAGTTGTTTCAGATGGACGAGATGCTGCTTGATGGGTTTAGTCAACTCAAACATGTTGATACATGGTAAGGAAGGCAGAAGACTCCAACAAGTAAACAAGTGAAAGGAGCTGTAGCCAGTGTTTGTCATGGTGGGATACCATGATGGAGAACATGAAGCTGATCAATTATTTTGGGCCTGGGGATCTGCTGAGATGTTCTCAGGAGATCTGGTAAAATGCAGACCTCAGTTAACAACAAATTAATTTAATTGTTGCTACAAATTATTACAGCAACCAAGGCCTGTTTTTTTTTTTTAACAAGGAAGTTCTGAAAACATTCTCAATAGGAAGAAAAGTTGAGATTTTTCCAAAAGATACAAGACATATGTTGCGAAGTAGGCCACCAACACTTGGGTGTAGTATGTGTCTTTGTATTTGGACAGCACCGTCCCCAAAGCTTTGGCATCATCCATGTCTTTAGGGATCTTGATTTTCTCCATTTCATCACTGAAAAAAAGAGAAATTAATATCTTCAGTTATACATGTCACATAAATATTTTGTTTTCATCACAATACACCGTTTTTTTGGACAGTTTCCAATCTGGCTTCTTTATATACTAAGCAGAGACTTTAGTGATGGCTTTCTGCTGCTTCACACTGGTGAGAAAGATGTGGTTCTTGATAGAGAGGAGGTCGGCGAACAGGTTGAACTGCACATGCGCGATGTAATTCTTATCGGTCAAGCTAAATATTCAGTATTGCTGTAGATGATCATGTTTGCTAATGAACCTTTTTAAGGGATGACATGCTCCAGGGGTTCATACTTGGTCCAATCTTGTTCTGTGATGCAAAATTAATAATTTCATTCAGTCCCAGTTACTATTCAAAACTGCCTCGGTGCGATAAAAGAATAAAAATTACAACATTTTTATATCCAACACAACAATAACTGATACTGTCACATGTATTTACCTACATCTGGATTTTGAGCGTCAGGTTAAAACTAGTAGTTCAGTTTAAACATTTCTGGCACAGAAATACTTCCAGACTCAGGCATTTGGGAAAAGTCTCCCACCCTACTACTGTTATGACTCAGTCTCATTAACCTCAACCAGTCTGCACTAGCATCACCCAGACTAGTCCACACACCTCTGCCACTCCTAACAACAACACTATGTAGACGCAACACTGCGCCGCTGCTAAGCCCTCTGTTAGGTGACCTGTTAACTTCAGGATTTACCTTAATGATTTACTTTTCTGACAGACAAGTCAATACTTATATAGTGGCTGTCCTGTTATACAACCAGAAACCACAGGTCCAGATTCAGACTGTAGGACCATCGTTATTTCAAGGTCGAGGCTGAAAACTAAAGCAGCCTTTCTCAAAATCTAAAGAGGAGCTAAATCAGTACAAACGGTGTAAATGTTAAAATGCACCTGCTTTCATAGGCATTTTCTTTAATTTTACTATATTTTCTGGTTTGAATGTATCTGTGTTTTAGACCTTTTCCTTCTTCTGTTAATGTCTCTTTATGAAGTACTACGTAGCTATTGTTCTGCCCTGTAATTAAACATTATGCCGTATTAAGGTGTGTTAAAACAGCCACTAACTTTAATAACTTTTCCACAAAAACATCAACAAAATAATGAACATTTTGCTTTTAGTACAAAACTATCACCAAATCCGCCCCCTGTGTTGCACTGCATTAACATTTTACTTTCTATAAAAAGAAATGTTACTTTTGTAGGTCAGTTATTTCCACTAATTACTCACCTTTCTGGCTTCGTTGCTACTGAATACGACAAAGCAATATAACCTTCACGTGACAGTGAAAATCAACAAACCCCAAATCCACTGCACTATGTGGTGCAGCATTGTTTGTGAACACAAAATAAGTCTTTCATAAAGCAACTTACTCAGGAAGCTCTGGGAAGTTCCTGTAGACGAGGTACATGACCGAGGCAGCACAGGTGAAGATAGACACCAGAATCAGCAGAGACATGCGTGCTGAGCCCCCTTCAGTATGCTGAGCCTCTGTGAGGAGAGAGAATGAGTTATTTAGCACATAAATAAAGTGGTTCCTATAAAAACAGACAAAGTAGCTTCCAGGAGCCTTGTGTAATTTGCTTGTGAGTTTTGCATCACTTGCTCAAGCCCCTACAGGGATCCGTCTCCTCTGGGACACACTCTTGCTGTTTCTGTTCATCATGCGTTCAATAAACACTTTAAGGAAACAGACAACTATAATTTTGGTTAATTTCAGGTGTCAGCTAAAGGATTTGGAGTATAAAGCTACTTTTTTTTTTACCAACTACAGCACTCCTAAGAGATAAAACAGGGAGTCCAGAGGAAATTACACAAACAAATTACCAGTAATTGTTACAGTTTGATAAATCAAAACAAGCCGCACATTACATATGCACATGACACCGATATATATTTATTATATGATATATTATCTAAAGCAGTCGACTCAGATACACTCCAGTTTATTGGTACACCGAACAACAACCAATGCAATCTAATACAACTGCTCTACAATAAATCCTATCTTTATGAAGATTACAATGTTCATATAGTGTAAATGAGGTGGGCAAAATATTATGAAAAAAAGTATATAAACTGATACAAATACAGTCAAATCAACAGGTCTGCAAATGATTCAATCAATAACAAGTGATTTGGTCGTCCAGACAAAGTTAATGCACATTGTAGCTCACGTAAGAGTAAACTTATTGGGTCATCAAATTCACATCCAGATATCACTTTAGGCTTCAAAGTACAAACAACAGTTGAGCAACTGATGTAATCAATTACAGGTCAAAAATGTTTATATAGTGACAGTGGTCCTTGTGGACGCAATAATGCAGTAATTGTTTTATGTTATTTCTTCAATCCATCTGTCTCATAAGAGTTCTGTTTTTGTTGTTTTGTTATCCTCGGATTACTTAACTATAGTACATTTGAGTAGCTACATAAAGGGATCTTAAAGTGTAATATTTCCATTATCTCTGTTGAACCTAGCTCACCTTTGGCTGGCAGTGGGAGAATATGAATGTAATGAGGTGCATTTACTCCAGTATGCTGTATTTAATTACAGGTTTGAGGTACATGTGTACTTTACTTGAGTATTTCCTATTCATGCCACCTTACAGATAAATATTGTACTTTTTACACCACTACGTTTATCTGACAGCTGTAGTTATTAGTCACTTTTAGTTAGTTTAGTCAATGATTCACCCAGACCATGGCAGAATGATATAATAACACAAATACATAACAACAATCAGTGGAGCTATTCAGCATTGAGAGCATTTATTGTTCATACTTTCAGAACATCTGTCAATACACACTTTAACTAAAGTAACATTTACAACGCAGGCCTTTACAGTATATTTTTAGCTGAGTAAAGGACATAAACACTCCCCCCTCCCTACCTAATAACCTAACTAACGCAGGGGTTTGTGGTGTCTTTTTACAGCGTTGTGTTTCTCATCAGCTAAGTTACGGCGTTACTAAGATATCCGCGGAAGTCGTCGCCGGCCAATTGCTCACCAGCCGGCCGCGTTAAAGCAACCAGGCGGCCGGCCGGCGGGGTAACATTAGCTCCTGATCGACTGATGTCTCAAAGCAGAAACGACGCTGCCATGTCGTTACATTGCTTAATCTCTATGTGGACACATATTTTCCTCCCTCCCCCCTCTTGGCTGCAGTTAGCCCCCGTATAACCCACCTTTCAGCACTTCTGAGTCCCTAGCATTCGCCTTCACCTCCTCCTGGGACGAGGACAATCCGTCCGTCTCACGTCTTTCTCTCCGCTTTTTGGCCATTTTCTGAGACGCCGTCGAAGGTCGGTTGGTGGTCGGTTGGTGGACCGTTGGTGGACCGTTGACGTGTGTGTGTGTGTGTGTGTGGGGTGACACCGGTGTGGTGACAGCCCGCTGACACGTTACACAGGTTGACCTTTTACCTTTTACGTCCCGCAGCAAACCCTGCACCGTTCACTACAGCGCCCCCAGCAGCCGGTCTCCATGGCTACAGCGAAGGCCTTCATAATAAATATACCGGTTTTAAACAATGTCATTAATACCTGATGTTGAAGTTTGGTGTTTTATTGCAAAACAAATATGCTGAATTTTTTTTTATGTAATAATATTTTCATTATAGGTACATTTTACATTCACAAGTGTTGATTTTTTTACTCCAAGCTTTGTGGCATTTATGGATGACTTGAAGATTTTTTTAAAAACAACTGGAAAAAACTCTCTAAACTACTTTATCTTAACTAAACCCCCTTTAAGTAACTTTTTATTTTAGATTTTTTTGTTTTGTTTTGGTTATTGGATTGTTTTTTTGTTTTGTTTTTCTCTTAATATATGTTGCTTGGATGGATTTATTGTTAGGTATGCTGTTTTGTTACTTGAAGTAAAATAT